TCCCCGACACGTCCTCCCTCCCCCCCCCGCCCGTCTCTATCTTTCCCTTCAGCGCTCAAACACGCCCCCCCCGCTTGACGACCCCCAGTCTTGGCAGCCTCAGAGGTGGGTCGGAGTGCAAGGAGGGAAGGGTCTGCTGAGTCCACAGCAAAGTCCTTGACCTCTCCGAACACCCACCCACCTTCCCCCGCTTTCTCTACACCTTTTTAGGCTGCCCAGTCCTCCCAGCACAGGGGCCCCCTCCTGCACCCTGGAAAGCCTCAAGAGGAAAGGTAAGAGGGGAGGGGAGGGGAGGGGGAGAGAAAGGGGGTCGGAGTGCAAGGAGGGAAGGGTCTGCTGAGTCCACAGCAAAGTCCTTGACCTCTCCGAACACCCACCCACCTTCCCCCGCTTTCTCTACACCTTTTTAGGCTGCCCAGTCCTCCCAGCACAGGGGCCCCCTCCTGCACCCTGGAAAGCCTCAAGAGGAAAGGTAAGAGGGGAGGGGAGGGGAGGGGGAGAGAAAGGAAGGAAGGGCCTGGGAAGGACGAGTCATGAGAGGAACAAGCCCCGTGTGTGCATGCAGGAGGGGAGGGTTAAGGGTTAATGGTTAAAGGGTTAGGAGAGGGAGGGGGCACGGGGGGGGGCTCTGATGCTCATCAGGTCTCTGTTTCTTGTTCCAGGAGGACTGGACGTGGACTCTCCCCCCAAGAAACTGTTTGTGGCCGGAGTTCCCCAAACACCCCCAGCCCTGTAGCCGTCCTGCACACCCCCTCGAGAGAAGATCCGAGGGCCCGCTGAGTCCCCAAGCCGGAGGGGCAGCAGTGCCTGTCAGCTGATATCGGACCTGCCCCCCCTCACCCATTGCCCAGGCATGTGGGGCCAGCCGGGCTACCAGCTGGCCTTGGCTACTGGGGGGCAGGGCTCAATGGCCCTAGAGAAGGGCTGGGGCTCCTTCTCAGAAAAAGCCTTGGTGGGCATTGGGGGAGACAGACAGGGTGGTTGTGTTCTGGGGGGGGTGTTGGGGAAATGAGTGCCCACCTTGGCAGCAGCCCTGCCTTCACCCCGTCCTGCTCCCCGCCGTCCCCTCCTCAGACGGCCTCTGCCACCCCTCCACCCCATTGCTTAGAAAGGTCTCGTAGGGGTCCTTCCTTCCCCAGTTGGGGCCCTGAGCAGGTGTGGGGGGGGGAAATGAAGGGAGGGGGCAGACACACTTTCTGCATTTTAAAGAAGGTCCTGAGTAAAACGGAAGCATCTGCCGGAAATTGTACTTCTGGGTGGCGGAGGGGGCGGTCACCCCCCCTCAAGAAACCTAAACAAAGCACAACAGGAAGTGGACGGGTGGTGCTGTTGGTGCCCCATTTTGAAGGGGTGCCACTCCTCCCCCCCACACACACACACACAACACAGCTGCCATCCACATTAGGAGCGCCAACCAAAGAGCAGCGGCGGGCCTGGGATGAACCTTGTTCTTTGTCAAGGGGTAGAGTTTACATGATTATTTGGATATGATACATAATTTGTACATTTGTATAAAGACACAGTATATATTTTCCTCTATTAAAGAGGGGGGGGCTCCCTGGAGTGTGGGAGTAAATGGGTTTTGTTTAAACACTGATACACAAATAAACACACACACACCTGCATTTTGCAACTTTGTATTAAACTTTTTCTTAAAAGGCAAGGAAAAAAACTGGTTCTTTCTCTGTTTTCCTTCAGGGTGCGCTGGGGAGGGCAGTAAATTCCTGCAGTGGGTGTCAGGCCAAGGCAAAGCCGGGGGGGGGGGAGAAAAAAGGGCACAAGAGAGGCAGCTACCACAGAAAAGCTAGAAGCAGACACATCACCCCTCCCCCGCTGCTAGTCGCTTGCCACGTGGCACTTGCACTGTAACCTGGGGGGGGCATGATGAGGTGCACCTGCACACCCCTTCCTCCTAAATAGATGGAAAGCCCCCCCCCCGCTGCTCTGTTATGCCTGCAAGACAGGGTTAGGGTTAGGGGGCAGGGCAGGGGTCTCAGGTTCAGGGTCTGACTTCAAAGGGCTGAGCTTTTGTCTCCCATCCACCTCAAACCAGGGGCCAGGAGGGCACTAACTGGTGCTCACTCCACCGTGGCAAGCAGAAGTCTGCACATGCTCAGAGGCACTCGTGTCGGCAACCTACAGGATGCTAGAAAAGCTCCCGTTTTTGACCTTGGCGGCTGGAGTGACCAGCCCTCAGCAGTGGCCACCTAGGGCTTCTTTGGCCTGGCTATGGCCACTGAGTTCAAGAAGAGGTCACTGCCCTTTGACCTTCCCTGCTGCAAGCAGTCTTGAAGGTTGTGGCTGCAATGATTGGGGCATGAGGGGGGGCTGACAACCTACAGGATGCTAGAAAAGCTCCCGTTTTTGACCTTGGCGGCTGGAGTGACCAGCCCTCAGCAGTGGCCACCTAGGGCTTCTTTGGCCTGGCTATGGCCACTGAGTTCAAGAAGAGGTCACTGCCCTTTGACCTTCCCTGCTGCAAGCAGTCTTGAAGGTTGTGGCTGCAATGATTGGGGCATGAGGGGGGGCTGACCG